GCCCAGGCGGATGGCGGGCCGGGCTGCTCTGTCCAGCGTACACGGGGAGGGCAGGCCACCTCCCCGAGGGGCCTTGGAGGTGGCTCGGGCAGAAGGGCCCTCTCTTGTCTCCACGTCACGCCGGGGCTGGAGCTGCGACGCCCACCTCCCGGACGCTGGCAGTCCACACTGGCGAGGAGATGGGCAGGAGGAGGCAGGAGGAGCCCAACCAAAGTGAGCCATTCACTTCCTCCCCTCTGTCTCAGGCGCTCACTCCTCCCATCCCCTCCATCAAGCCCCCGCCAGGCACACACAGGGCCGGCCCGGCCCCTCGCTGACCTGACCTCCGCCCTTGCAGGGGACTCTTCCTGGGGCTGGACTTCAGGCCCTTACCCCCTGACACCGATGGCAGGTGAAGGACAAAACCGGCCAAGAATAAAATCGCCTATAAATCTGATCTTTTCCTCCCAGCTGTTGCATAGGCAGAGTGCTGGGATTATTGATAGAAAACTTTACGGCTGGGCCGCGTCTTAAAATGAAAATACATCACCCAAAATCAATGCCGGTGTGCGTGGCACCGGGAGGACGGGGAAGGTCAGCCCAGACAAGAATACCGAAGCTCAAACTCCAAGAGGACCCGAGCATTAAAATAAATAAATTCTGAAAGTGAGTTCCAGGAAAAACATTCACTGCGGGCTGTAATTTAAAGGAGCTTTCACGGGAGGCTGGGCAGTCTTTTTACACAGTGCTTTTTAAAGTGTCTCTGGGAGCCCAGAGAATCCATCCGCAGGACGGTATTGACAAGCGCCGCGGACCCCAACTCGCAGCGCAACAAGAACAGGGCGTGATGAGCAAGGAGGAAGAGCCGCGAGGGTGGGCACAGGGGGGCCGGGCCCTGGTGGAGGCAAGACCACAGGCATGGCCAGCTGGGCAGGTTGGGGAAACTGAGGCCCCACGGGTCGCATCACAGGACTCAGCTGGAGGTCCCTGCACACGGCAACACACGGGCATTTCAGGGATGGAGGGAAACCTTGCCAGGATCCACTGATGAGCAGAGAGGGCCGGGAAGGAAACAGCTGTGAAATCTCGAGTACATCACCGGGAATCTGCTTCACTTCATGTTCCAAGATTCACTCTGAACAGGGCACCTTTGCGGGAGCCCAAGGGACACCCACCGTCGTGGGGCTCAATGGCCGTGTCCTCAGAGACAGGTCTTCCTTTGGGAGAAGCGACCCAAATACTCCGTCACAGACGCCTTCTTTGAAGCCTCCGGCTGCGAGATCGCGTCCCCCAGGACACGGTGGGAAGGAAGTCGCTCCCGCCAGGGAGAGGGGACCAGGCACTGGCTGCGGTCTGGCTTCAGCTCACCAGTTCCCAAAATGGACACAGCCGTAAGTCAAAGAGATGAAAGTCCCACCCTGCCCACTGGGAAACCCCCAGCAAAGGGGAGACAAAGGGCCCCCAACTGCGGTCCCAGTTGGAACATTTGCTGCACCCTAACCTGAGCCAAGCTCGGCTGGAAGTTAAAGGCACAGAGAAGAAGGTTCAGTTGCTGGGCTCACCATCCACAAGAGGAGGCAGAAAGCAAACAGACCCTCCCAACACAGAGCCGAAAAGGCAGGACGACAGAGAATCTGTCTCAGGCTGCTTCTGGCTGCCATTGGCCAAGGGCAGAGGCCTTGCTCTCCATGCCAACTCCAGGTATTGGCACCGAAATCTTGCCCAGAGCAGGAAAGAGGTGGGCATCTGGGCTGGAATCTGGACCCCCAAAGACAGACAGACCTGGGTGGAAGCCTCACTCGGCCACTTACTAGCTGTGTGACCTCAGGCAAGTTGCACAAGCTCTCTGAGCTTCAGCCATTTCATCCGTAAAATGACGTGAAATCAGTGTCTACCCCAGAGAGTTGTTACAGGGATAAAATGAGCTCGTTCATTTACTCCACGAATGTTTACTGAGCTCCTACTTTGCTCTAGTCCCTGTTCTGGGTGCTGGAGACACATCATTGAACAAAGCAGGCAACGAGTCTTACAAATCTTGAACAGGAAACACAATCAATAAGGATATCATACCATATGTTGAAAGGTGGTTGGTGCAAAAGACGAAAGAAAAAGGGAAGCCTGGGAAGGGCCTGGGAGTGCTGGGTGGTCCAGGTGGGCTTCATGGAGAAGGCGACTTCCCAACAAAAGCCAGACATGGTGGAGTCGGCCAAGCAAGCATTTGGCGGGAGGAACAAATCAGTCAGATGTTCCCGCTTGTGCAAGAGCCCTGGGGCAGGAGCACACCCGTCCGGAGTGTTGTACTGTAGGGAGGAAGACGGTGTGGCCAGAGGAGGGTGAACCAGGGAAGACAGGAAAGAAGGTGGCGGCAGAAGGGGCCAGACAGGCTGCTTGACCTTGCCAGCCACCGCAAGCCCACTGCCATTACGCCGAGTGAAACGGCATAACCACCGCCGGGTTTCCAGCCACGGAAGAGTAATCTGATTTCTGCGTGACAAAGATCTCTCGGCAGTCACGCTGCAACGAGTGTGTAACAGTGCCCGGCACATGCAAAGCGTGCAAAAATACGTGGCTACTACTCTTACTAGTAACAACCCATGCAGTGGGCAAGAAACACTTCACCCCGCGAGGTGGTGCAGACCTAGAAGACCCACAGACCTTAGAGGTAACCAGGGTGGGACTCCCTCTAGCTACAGGAGTTCTCCCCTTGCCCATCCCGGATCACCAGGCGTTAGTCTCCGCTTGGACCTAGTGTCAGGACAGGAGACGGCTGCCTCTCCAGGCAGGCCGCCCGCTGCATGCTGAGCTAGCTCTTGCTATGGCAGCCCTGCTGGAGCCAGTCCCCCCATGAAATGTGCTGTCCTGGAATCCCACCGTGGTCCGGAATCGTTGAAGCGCAAAGTCTGCCCTGTCCCTTCAGAAGCCGAGGACAGCAGTGAGTCCTGCAGAGTCTTACAGCGGTGGGTCCAGAGGGGTTTCTAAGGGCAGGTGGAATTCCTAAGGAAAAGCTCCTGGCCAGGGGTGATGAAGTGACAGAAGGCAATGTCCTCTTTGGGGCCCCTGCAGAGGAACTCCACATTGCCCCTGGCCTGCACGTTCTGGCTGTTGCTAGCAGGAGACCTGGCCAGCAAGGCCTTACTTAATGCATGAGAGGCAGCGGCCCAGGAGCGGGGCTGACTCGCCGGCCCACAGATGAGGAAACCGAAACCCAGGCGCAGGAGGTACCAGGGCGTCGCCTAGGGGCGCCCCGCTCGCTGGTGGGGACCACTTAGGGCCCGCAGCTGCGTCCCCTCTGAGGTTGCGCTGCTGGCAGCCTGGACCAGGGTGGTGGCTGCTGGAAAATATTTCCGCTCTGGGTTTCCCTGGCTTCCCGGGAACCCTCTGCCCTGCCTCCGGGAGGCTGGTGAGCAGGGAGCACAGATGGGTGAACCCACCCGGCTGCCCCACCCCAACCTCAGGTCAGAGCTGAAGAGTAGGGGGCGGGCGGGGGAGGGGCAGAGATATTGAAACCGACCAGCCCGGACTCCCAGGTAAGGGAAAGAGGAGAGACTCTAGAACCGAGCTCTTTGGGACCCGCCGCTGGGGTTACGCATCCGTCCGAACCACTCGCCCACCCCTAAGTACCCTCCGGGGGCCCCGGCTGCACCCCTCGGACGGCTTGGGAGGCGCAGGCTCGGGGTGAAGGCTGGGGTGCGCAACGGGACGCAGGGTGTGCCGAGCGGGGGATGGGCTCCGGACGCTGGTACGGACCGAACCTCCAGCTCCTGCCGCCCTGGGATCCCCCCGTTCGCACGGAGCAAAGAGGGGCCGCGACCCGCGAAGCGCGCGCGGAGACGCGGGGACCCCGCCCCGCCCGGAAACCTCCGGGGCCCCGAGTCGTGCCCGGCGCTCCCCACCCCGCCCCCACCGCCTGCGCCGTCACTCACGGCCGCCGCCGGCGGGCTCGCGGGGCGCGGGGCGCTCCCTCCTCGCGCGCGCACTGCAGACTCCCGGTGTCGCCGCCGTCACCCAGCCGCGTCCCCGGCCCGGCACAGAGTTCCGCCCTTCTCCCGGTCCCACCCGCCCGCCATGGCCCGGGCCAAAGCACGGTGCGGCTCGCTGCCCGAGCTGGGGTAAGGAGTCAGGGCCCGGGAGCCGCGGGAAGGGCCGCGGGACACACGGGAACAGGGGCGAGCGCTGGAGTCTGGGAAGATGCCGGGCAGAGTTGGGGCGGGAGGACCCCCAACCGCAGCGGCGGCGGGGAGGGGCGGCGCGGCCCAACCGGAGAGAGGCCGGTCCCCGGGAGCGACCCCGCGGAGGAGAGGGGCGCGCTCTGGGGCGGGGCGGAGGGGCCGCGGCAGGAGAGGGGAGGCGGGGGCGGCGCAGTGGTGGAGGCGGCCCAGCGCCCGGCCGCTGACCGCCCCCTCCCGCGCCCTCCCCTCCCCCTCTCCCCGCCTCTCTCGGGCTCGGGTCGGCCACGCCGGACCGCGCTCCCCGCGCCGCGCTGGGTCGGACGCCAGGTCTGCGCGCCGCAGCTGAGCGCCCACTCGCCTGGCGGAGGAAGCCGCGGAGAAGCCCGCGGGGGCGGCGGCGGGAGAGCTCGCCGGGAGCCGGAGGAGGCGGCAGTCGGGAGCCGAAGCAGAAGGAGACCGGGAGGCAGAAGCTCGCGGCTCCGAGGCGCGCACTCCCCGGGCCAGCGATGAGTCCCGGCGCGGCCCGGTCCCTGCCCGGACCGCCGGGCAGAGACTGAAAGGTGGACCCCCATCGTCCGCTGGACGCCGGGACAGAGGGAGGCACTAACGGGCCTCCGGGGGGACCTCGCCCCCCGCGCACCCAGCGCAGCGCCCCCCCGGAGCCGCGCCGGGCAGACCGGCGAGGGAGCGGGGCTGATTGGCGGCCGGCGGCCAGGGGAGGGGGCGCCGTGCGGGGCCATGGCAGGCTCCGACGCGTCCTAGCCCGAGCCGGAGCCGGAGCCGAGCCCACGCTGCCGCCGCCGCCGCCTCTCAGCGCCCGGGCCCCCGCCGCCGCCGCGCCGCCCGCGGGAGATGGAACAGCGGAACCGGCTCGGTGCCCTCGGATACCTGCCGCGTCTGCTGCTGCTGCACGCCCTGCTGCTCTTGGTGGCCCACGGTGAGCGCGGGAACTCGCTGCCGCGGTGGGTTCGGGGGTCCTTGCTGGGGGCTGCTGGAGCCAGCCTGCGCCGGCCGCCACCGAGGAGGAGGAAGAAAAGGGGAAGAAGGCTTCGTGGTCTGCTGCAATCCCGGGGTGCAGCCCTGGCGCGGAGGGGTAGGGGAAGGAGAGCAGCGAAGGGTCCCCGCAGCTGCGGCGCCCGCGCCCGAGTCGTCCGGAGTCCGGCGGGGGCTCGGCTGTGGGGAGGAGGCCGGCGGGGAGCGGGAGTTGGGGCGCCCCAGCCTGGATCGGGTGGAGCTGGGGAGACATGAGCTGCCCCGCTGCCCGCCCGATCCGGAGGGAAGCAGTCTGCAGCCTGCTGCGCCCTGCAGCTGCTCGAGCGAACTTTGCTACGCCCGGGCCTGGGCCACGGAGTGGCTGGGGGCGGGCGGGGGTGGCACATGGCCACCGAGCCGGCACAGAGCGCCCCGCCTTGGGTTGCCCCAGGCCTCCGCCCTACAGCTGGTCACGCCTCACCACCCTGCCCACCCCCGCCCCCAGCTACATTCACTGAAGTCCCCAAAGATGTGACGGTGCGGGAGGGAGACGACATCGAAATGCCCTGCGCGTTCCGGGCCAGCGGAGCCACCTCGTATTCGCTGGAGATTCAGTGGTGGTACCTGAAGGAGCCGCCCCGGGAGCTGCTGCACGAGCTGGCTCTCAGCGCGCCGGGCGCCCGGAGCAAGGTAACCCGCGGGGCCGGCGCGCACCAGGCTCGGGCCGGGCGGCTTCCCCGGGGAGGGGGCGGCTGGGCTCACGGGTGCGGGGCGCCGCGTGGCGCAGCCCGTCTTCCACCCTGGCATCCTCAAGAATCGGAAAAGTCGGCTGTTGTTACCCCCAAATCCTGTCAATTGCTTTGGCAGTTTCCTTTCTCCCACGACCCCCCCCCCAGAACTCCATGCGCGCCTGGCCCCTGAAAGCCACGCCTCGCTCAGTGCTCCTGCGGGCAGGCTGCGAGCCGGCGCCTGACGGGTGCGGGGTGGTGCGGGAGGACCACTCGGTCGCACCAGGCTCTCCCTGCCCTCTGTCACCATGGGGTCCCCAGGGCTCCGGGAAGGCAGCGCTCGCGAGGCAGCGGGCCGTGTGCAGGGAAGCTGTCAGGCCAGCTCCAGCGCCCACAGGAACAGAGGGGTGGCCTCCCTGTAGCCGAAAACAGGTCCCCGCCGCCCATCTGCCTCAAAGCCCGCACCGTCTCCCGCACATTCTAGCGCGCGCGCGCACAGCAACACCGTCACGCCTGCCCACATCCTCCTGGGTCCCGCCCAGAGCGACTGCTCCTGTCTCCACTGGCCCTGTCCACACACACACACCGGTCCCTCCATCCAGGTTCTCGCGGCTCCCGGTCAGGTGGAGGAAGATTTGGAGGAACAGGGGGGAACGGGGACGCTCCGCGGCAGGGCGCAGGGCCTTCCTTCCCATCGCGGTGCGATCCAGTCCCCGGTCTCCAGCTGGCAGGTGCGCGCTGGCGCGGCCACTCCGGCCAGGCACCATCCCAGTTCTGAACCCGCTTCCCTCCGGGTAAACTCCTGGAAATCCAGACGGCCCTCTTGCCCTGCACCCCACGTCCCCAGCCCGGCGGTGTCGGGCCCAGCCCGCCTGCGGACGGTCCCCTGCCCAAGGCCACATCCGCGTCCCCCGGCCTGGAGACCGCGAGCCTGACGTGTGTTTCTCCCTGTTTGCATTTTAGGTAACAAATAAGGATGCAACTAAAATCAGCGTAAGTGTGGAGCCCAGCGCGGGCCGCGGGAGACCCCTTCCGGCCGCCGCGCGCCCCGCGGCTCCCTCGCGTTAGAAAGCGCGGCCGTGCGTCGCCGGCTGCTCCCTCCCCGGTAGACAGCGGCGGCGGCCGAGCTGCGCATCGGGCGCCATCTGTCGCCAGTAGCGGGCTCGGGCTCTCTTTTGTGTAAATCAAGGGTCCAAGACCTGAGTCCCCCAGCCCGGCTCGGCGCTCACCTGTAAAACCCTCCTGGGTCCGGACCGCGCGCCCAGGCCCCTGCGCCGCTGCTCGCCTCCCCGCTGCGGGCATCTCTGCCGGCGCCGGGAGCGCGCGGCTGCTCGCCCTCGCCGCGACCCGTGCTCGGCTGCCCGCCCCTCCGCCCCGCCCTGCACGCGCGTTCCGTGCCCGCAGGCCCCTCCGCGGCGGCCCTCTGCGCCCGCCTGGGCTGCAGGTCCGGGTGCAGGCGTTGCAGACTGCGCGGGGGCGGGTCGTGGGGTTGGGAACTGGGAGGAGATGAGCCCCAGCTCTGCCGGCTGGAGCGTGGAAGTGCGAGGGCCTGGAGACGAGGGGGCCTCCTCGTAGGCTCGGTTCGGGGTGGGGGCTCCCTGGGAGCTTGGTGGGAGCCGCAGAGAGGTTTCTTCTCTAAGTCTCCACAGGGGCCCAAGGGAGGAGCCCTTTGTCTGGGGCTTCAGGGAGGCGACCATGTGACAGGGTGGGTGCCCAGCAGGTGGCCAGGGGTCAGGCGGCAGCCTCAGCCTCGCGGGCCTCCTTGGGAGGACGAAGGGTTAGCTGCGAAGCGCGGGGGCCAGGGACAGGGGCTTTCCCTGGGACACGACCCAGGTCCTGTGGGTTCTGGATAAAAAAGAACGTTAGCGCGGGAAGGCATGGAGCCCACGCGGCCCGCCGGGGCGCAGGAGGGACGTGGGCCCATTAGGGAACAGGAGGCCCAGCCTGAGGTCGCTTGACGGGGCGGGAGGGGGCAAAGGGGTGGGCTCTGCCACTCTGAACGGAGAGCCGCAGGGAGACAAGAGGCTGTTGGTGGGAACGCGGGGGACACACGATGGGCCATTTGGTCAAGACCATGCGGAACCGGAGACGCAACACAACGGGCAGGCGACCGGAGTCCAGGCAGAGTGGAGAGCCCCACGGCGCTGGGGGGACACGGGGCACAAGGAAAGCTGGGTGGTGACTGGGGTCGGGGGCGAGCTGGGGTCCACGCTGGGGCTGCGCGCCCGGCCCTAACCCCGCTCTCTTGCAGACCGTGCGCGTCCAGGGCAACGACATCTCGCACCGGCTGCGGCTGTCGGCCGTGCGCCTGCAGGACCAGGGCGTGTACGAGTGCCGCGTGGCGGACTACAGCGACGACCACACGCGGGAGCACCAGGCCCAGGCGCAGCTGCGCGTGCTGTCGCGCTTCGCGCCGCCCGACGTGCAGGCCGCCGAGGCCGTGTCCCACATCCAGAGCAGCGGCCCGCGTCGCCACGGCGCGGCCACCGCCCACAGCGCGGGCCGCGCCACCCCTGAGCCCGGCGGCGACAAGAGCCCGCCGCCCGCGAGCCCGCCCGCTGCCCCCGGTCCCGGAGTCCCCGCCGCTGCCGCCGCCTCCGCGGCCCACACAGCGGCCACCACCGTCGTCGCCGCTGCGGCTGCTTCGTCTGCGTCGCCGCCACCGGGCCAGGCCGTCGTGCGCCAGAGGCACCGCTCGGGTAAGGGGCGCGTGGCGGATGGACACTGGGGTCACTTGCACGTCTATACTCGATCCTGGTTAAGCTGGGTCAGTCCAGAGCGGTGTCAGGATCCTCTCCCTGCTGTTTCCCTGACTCACCTGGTGGCCTCTGGAACTGTTCTGCGCTGTATTTTCGATTGGGGGGCTGCCCCCCTGGCGCCCACCCACAGGGACACTCCAGGCCGGAGTGTGGGGAGACCAGCTCTCTTGGGTTTGGGTAGCTGGACCCTGAGGGCTGAGCTCCGACCGTGGCAACGGGCCAGCTTTGCACTTGGAGCCCTAACCGTGGAGCGGGTGTGTCCCCAGGTGGGACACTATCACCTGGTGGAGGTGGGACCAGGCGGTGCCACTTAGGCCGCGTTGGTGTCTGTGCTGCTTGGCTCCGCTGAACGGACTTGGTCCAGGCCGGTGTGGATGGGCCTGACCGTGTGGCCTCTGTTCTCTTCCGCTAAGGACAGGAGGGGTCTGGGCGCCGGCTCTGCCCCCTGCTATAAATCGTAGCTCCAGCTCCCTTTGGCTCTGGGGGGCAGGGGGTGCAGTAAGGACCTAAGCCGTTCTTAGGAAGGCACCTAGCGGCTAAGACCTGCTTTCCCTGGGGAGCTGAGAGGCTGGGCAGAGGGGAGTCGGGTGGGATGTGGGAAGGCAGAAGGCCAAATGGCCTGACTGCCCTGGAGAGGCTGTTTGGGGACAGCCAGGTGCTAACGGAGGGTGGAAAGCCCTCCCGCCCAGTGTGGCCCCCGATCCCCCACACTCCCTCCCCAGCTCAGAGATGGGCCCGACTCCAATACTCTCTCGCAGTATCTGATTTTGAGCAGGTCACCTCCTCCCGAACCCCGCTCCTCAGTCCCGTTTGAGGCAGAGTCCTACAGAGAACGGCTCTACTGGCCTCGCAGCACAGAGAGGCTGCGTCTGGGGACAGTTGCATGTGAGTCCTCCCAGATGTGGTGGTCACACCCCTACCGTGGCAGTTCCCAAATGCAGTCCACCTGCTACCACCTGAGGAGGCAGGCTCCTGGGCTATCCCGCTGAATCCGGGTGACAGGCCCTCGAGTCACCTTATTGTCCCACTCAAGGCCTCAGGGGTGGGTGGAAACCTGCCGGTCTGTCCTGCGCATCTGCTCGGTTCTGTTCCTCGTTCAGTTCTGCCCACCGGGGGGGCCTCCCCGGTGTGTCTCGGGCTGTTGGCTGCATCTGGAGGCCTCGTCCCTCTTAGACCCCACACGGGGTCCCCCCGAGACTTTCCCTTCGGCCACAGGGGAAGGCGGGTCAGCTGGGACCCACAGAGGGCCTCCCCCAGACAGCCTCAACTCCCCTCCCTGGCTCAGGACTCTCCACTCCCTCCCGTATTAATTTAAGGTAACACTGGGTGCTGGGACAAACCCCAAACTGTCGGTGACTTGGAACAATTCGAATTCGTTTCTTGTTCACATCAAGTTCCGCCCTGGAGTGGGGAGTGTGGGGCTCTGTTCCGCGCATGCACGCGGGGACCCGGGCTGACGCAGATGCCGCCGGCTTCAACAGTGGCTTCCAAAGTCGCGCTGGGACTCCGGAGGTGGCCAGCAGACATGCGGGCAGCCTTGTCAGCCCAGTTCCCGGGGGGATGAAGCTCCAAGGCAGACATCGTATGTGATGATGAGTCAGCGTCTTTCCTGCAGATTTATAGTGGCCCTAAGTATGTACCGTTCTTAGGAGGTTGAGAAAAGAGCCGCCCAGATCACTTTGGACGGCGCTTCATCCCCCAGGAGGAAAGCTTGTTTTTAAGGACCAGGCCTAGAAAGGTAAATACTGCTCTACCCTCCTCCAATGGCCAAAACTCAGTCCTACTGTCCAGCAAAGCTGCAGGGCAGGCTGGAAAACACAGTACCCAGGCGGGTGGCAGCTGCTTTCTGGCCTCCTCTGTTCCCAGGAGAAGGGGAGTTAGCCACATCTGTCCCGCACACAGCAGATGTGCCGGGAAAGTGCTCATGGACTTACAGAGCGATTGGCTTAATTCAGTGCTGGTTGGGGAAGAGGAGACCCTTCCACCCTATCTTCTTGGGCCCCAGCAAGTGAACATGTGTGTCCCAGGCTGGAATATACCTCTGGGGTATTCCCCAGACCGTGAGTAGAATGGCAAAGCAGAAGCCGAGGTGTGAGTTGTGTCTCTACCACTTACTGGCTGTGTGACTTTAGGCAAGTGACTTAACCTCTCTGAGCCATCTGTAAAATGGACAGGGTGATCCCTGACCGAGGAGGGAGCTTGGTATGGAAATTGCTGCACGTATACGTTTGTTATTGGCACTATGGTCATTAGCTGCTCTGGCTGGAGAGGAGGGGGTGGGGGAAATACAGCTAAGTGGTTGGCATTTGGAAGCTAACTGTGGAGGGCCTTGAATGTCCAGGGGAACCAACAGGGTTGATTAAAGCGTTTGGTCAAGGAAGAGCCACGTGAAAGAGAGCTTTGGGAGTGCTCGCAAAGTGGTGATGAGGCCAGGGTCACAAGCTCCTTCCTGCTCGAATCTCCCTCTTCTCCTGGCCAGAGCCCGACCCCGAATCCAGACAAAGCTGACCTGACTGCCTGGCATAGCCGGCCAGGTCTCCCGTCCCCGTGCCGGCCACGAGGGTCGAGTAAGAGAGTGGGCTGTATTCCGGGGCATCTCATCCTCAGGGCAGGAAGCCCGTCCCGCAGGTGGGATGGACAGCGCCCTTCTTCCCAGGGGATATGGAGGGTCTCAGACGGCACCGCGCCCGGGGCCACCCCAGCAGGGCACCCACCACCCACACAGGACGGAATGTTAATGCCCACGTAGGTCAGGGCAGCGGCCCAGGCTGAGGGCTCCTCTCTGACTTCTCTGGGGTGGGGGTGGTGGTCGCTGTTGTCCAGACGGGACAGCCAGCTGGGCTTCCAGCAGGGTGACAGGGCCGTGCCCCCGGGATGGGGGTACGGTGGCCCCTGAGGTCTCTGCCACCCTGTAACCCTTGCCAGCTCCCGAACAGGCCAGGGACTGTGTAGACACCTCAGAAAGAAGTTCCTCTCCAGCCCTCCTTTGAAACACCCGGAAGTGGGGAGCCTGGGTCCCCTGCTCTCCATGTAAGGCTCTTAGCAGAGTCGCTTTGCTGTGGACACCTCTGTGTCCCACTCTGGGCAGACAGCAGTGGGTTTCGTGACCTCCAGCTCATAAACGCACCCCGACGCCTCGACCCCAAGGAGAACAGCATGCCCGGTTTTGTGTCCCACCCCACTCCAGCCACCCAGCTGCGGGCTGTTGATGGGAGTGAAGCCTACAGACTGTGTTTGGGGTGACGGGCTGGTGTCACCCACCATCACCAAGCAGTTCCCTGAGCTCGGCTGCCAGCCAGCATGGGTCCCACTGAGCCTCCCCGGTGGGTGGCAGGCCAGTCCGTGGTGCCAGCAGCAGCGTGGGCTGCAGGGTGGGGTCCTGGGGGTGCACTTTTGGGCTTGGCGGCTTCCCTTCAAGTTTCTTGGCGGTTGGTTGGGGGGGGTTCGGGAAGGGCTGTTTGGTTTTGGGTTGGCGGCCAGGGGGTTTTGCGGGTTTTTTCGGCGGGGTTGTTGGCGGAGGCGGCGGGCCCGTTGGACCGGGTTTGTTGGGGGGGTTTGTTGTTTTTTTTGCGGTTTTGGCCGGGTTTGGGGCGGCCGGCAAGGGTTGGTTGGGGTTCCTTGGGGTTGGCGGCGGGGGCGGCCTTGGGCCTGGGGCTTAAGGGGGGAGGAGGGGAGGGATTAGTTGGCCGGAGCGAGGGTGGGTGGCTGGGCGGGAGGCTGCCTGGTAGGAGCAGTGGCCTCGGCCTGGGATGCAGCCAACCCACAGTGACCCAGCAAGGATTCCGCTCCTCCTGCCCTGCGTTCCGGGCAGGGCCCAGGCCTTCATTCCCAGGGGCAGACCCTCCCGCGAGCTGAGGGCAGGGCGCCCGCCATGCAGTCTGGTGAGCTCAGCCTCAGGGTCTCAGTGCAGAGGGCTGGGCGGGAGCCGGGGAGCCAGAGAGGCTCATCCCAGGCCCGGGTCTAGCGGACGGACCCTCCGGCCATCTCAGACTGGCAACTTCAAGGGTGGTCCCAGCCCATCTCGCCAGACGTCCCCCGTTACGCCATGGCTCCTGGGAGAAAGTCGAAAGGAAGGCTCGTTTGTTTGAAGTGAGACTTTGGTGATACCAGGAAGGGGGCGGGGAGACTTGCTCGAATCTTCGTCCTTTAGCTACTGCCGGGCCAGGCCAGAAAACCCTGCCTGCACCCCACGTGTGCCCAGTACAGCCAAAGGCACACTTGCGCCAAAAGTTTACGTGCAAAAACTCATTCGTTTCACGTCTCATTTGTCAAGAGACGTTCTGGTATTTGTGCTTAAAAATAAACATGCACGGGATCAGCAACGCAGAGCGGGCGCAGGGGGCTGGCCCCCTTTTAGCCATTTGGTGAATCTGGCTCCTGATTAATCTGAACACTGACCCACTTTTCATGAGCACTTTGTTGCCGGTTGCCATTTCGGGAAAAAGAGAGAGAGAGAAAAAAACAAAACAGAATCTCTTCCAGACAAACACTCTAAATGGGAAAGGCGCTGCAGTGAGGTCCAGCGCGGCCTCCAAAGAATGCGGTTTGCAGCCGGACGGCCTGGTGCTGGCAAGAGGCTCCCTTCTGTAGGGACCCGGGATCCGGTCGGTGGCATGTGAACCTTTTTTTTTTTTTTTTTCGAGACAGAGTCTCACTGTGTTGCCCAGGCTAGAGTGCCGTGGCGTCAGCCTAGCTCACAGCAACCTC